GAGTTGGCTTTGATTGACGAAAGATTAGAGTTAGAGATTGCTCAATTGGAGGAAGAATCGAATTGTGGTGGTAGTGTTCGTAGTTCCGTAACACCACATCAGCCTGCTAACCAACGGTATGTCCCTGAAAATGACACTGATCATTCAGTGCGCGATTGGCTTCAGAGATCGTCAGCTCACGCAGCCAGTTTAGCTCAGAAATCTCCAGAGAAATTAGTAAATAATTCCACTCAACAAATGAGTGCCCAAGCAGACCAAGCGGAGCGAGATGATCCTGTACCACTCGACCACCGAGAAGCGGAAGATTCAGCTGCGAACCCACAGCCCAACGAAAACTCTGGGCTTTCAAAGCTAACGGACGTCTTAGCGCGGACGATTAACGCCATCGAGAGTAGGTCCGCAGCGGGGGATTTATCGCGACTGTTAAATCGATTAACATCGAAAGGCGAACTACCGGTATTCGATGGCGACACGGTAGAATGGCCTAGGTTTAAACGCGCATTCGATTTGACTACAGAAAAAGGAGGATATTCTGGGGAAGAGAACGTTTCTCGGTTATATGCTTGCCTCCGTGGATCAGCCCGCGAGGCAGTAGCCTCTTTAATGGTGACAGCAAGCGATGTTCGTCAAATAATGGAAACGCTGGAACTTAGGTTCGGCAACCCGGATATCGTGGCTGGAAAGATTGTCGGGGACCTAAAGAATCTTCCGCGAATTGGCGATATAGGGGGAAACTTGGTAACATTTGCGACCGCTGTGAAAAACTGTGTAGCTGCTTTACAGGCAGTTAACCATGTTGGGTACCTACAGAGCCCTGAACTGATATCAGAAGTTCTCCGTAAATTACCAACCACCATGATTTATCAATCCCTGAACTGATATCAGAAGTTCTCCGTAAATTACCAACTACCATGATTTATCAACATAATAGGTTCCTAAATGAAAATAGTGAGGGAGGCGAGCCTAAGTTGGTTTTGTTTGCGAAGTTCTTGTTTTTTGAGGCCGAAATTGCTTGTAAAGCCAGCACTAGTAGGCCGAAATTGCTTGTAAAGCCGGCACTAGTAATTTAATAACTTCAAACATTCGGTTCCCACGGGAGGAGAGACAGAGTGTGCGGGACAGAACCAAACGTGTTGCAGGGACTAAAGCAGCCGTTTTAACGACCGCACTAGAGGGCTCAGCCATGCCCAGAGAAATGCGTTCGCCTAATAAAGATGTTGGTCGTCGCTGTAATTATTGTTCTGCGGAAAATCATTTAGTTAACACTTGTCGAAGATTTAGCAGCCTATCTGTTCCTCAACGATGGGAATGGGCGCGGCAGAAGGGTGTATGTTTCCGATGCTTAGGGGGAAGACATCGTAGTGTTCGTTGTAACTCTAAGGGATGCGGAATCGCGGCGTGTATGCGAGCGCACCACAAACTTTTACATACAACTGACCGTTCAACGAGTAGCACGACAATGAATGACAAAATGCCGCAATCGACAGCACCCGCTAGCTCAGGGTCAGAAGAATATGTTGCGAATAATTGACAGAATCGCAATAAAGGAATTCTCTTGAAAATAATACCGGTAATAGTTACCGGAGCTCGCGGTAACATGCAAACATACGCCCTGCTAGACGAAGGATCCACATTAACTTTAGTTGACACGACAGTAGCTAACAGAATCGGCCTAACTGGTAGGCTAGCATCTATGAAGCTGAGAGGAGTAGGTGGAATGATGACCGTATTGGCGAATAGTAAAAGCGTTAATTTTGATATTAAGGGGAAACATAGTGTGGATACCTATCAAATTATGGGGGCTAGAACAGTACGAGGTTTATCTCTGCCCGCTCAGACACTACGTGTAGATGAGATGAAAAAGTATCACCACTTAAATAATTTAAACATCGAAGGCTATTCAAGTGTGACACCCACAATTCTAATAGGTCAAGATCATTGGGATTTGATCACGTCACTTGAGGTGAGAGAAGCAGGAAGACAGGCACCAGTAGCCTCATATACCAAGCTAGGTTGGGTAATACATGGATATGCATCAAGCAGTGCAAACAATGCAGTACCATCTGCTGCGCTGCAGTTGGAGGAAGTAGGAGAACGAAATTATGATCGCATAGAGGACCGCAATCTGAGCGAACTGGTTAAACACCATTTTACCATTGAATCTCTAGGTGTTAGTGAAAGGGTAAGGAATAACACCTTAATTGTGCGAGCAGATAAAATATTAAAAGAGACCACGCGGAGAGTGGGTGGTCAATGGGAGACGGGTTTATTATGGAAGTCCGACTCAATTGAGTTTCCCAATAATAAACAGTACGCGTTGAGTAGACTTAGAAGTCTAGAACGTAAGATGGATAAGGATCCGAAATTCGCGGAGCGATATTGCAATGAAGTGCAACGCTTCCTGGATCAAGGCTACGCCAGTAGGGTAGTTTCTCCAAAGGTCAATAATACACGAATATGGTATCTACCCCATTTCGGAGTAATAAATATAAAGAAACCGGAGAAACTACGCGTTGTGTTTGATGCTGCTGCAGTATACCACGGAGCGAGCCTGAACGATGCACTCCTTGCGGGTCCAGATATGTTCAACTCTCTGCTCGGGTCACTACTCCGATTTCGACAAAAACGTATTGCATTCACAGCGGACATTAAAGAGATGTTCCTCCAAATAAAAATACGTCCGGAAGACCGGTTCGCACAACATTTTTTGTGGCGCGGGATGGACAGAACTATAGAGCCACGCGAATATGTAATGACATCCATGATATTTGGCGCGACATCCTCTCCTTGCTCCGCTCAGTATGTCAAAAATCTTAATGCTCAAGAATTTCAATCAAAATATCCTGAAGCAGCAGAAGCAATAATAAAGTACCATTATATGGACGATTACATCGATGGCGCTGACACTGTCGAGGAAGCCATTAAACTTATTGAGGAAGTAACAGAAATTCACCGTAATGGCGGGTTTGATATACGAAACTGGACATGTAATAACGAAGTGGTAATGAGTAAAATACCCAGTGAAAAACGATCGCACATCAAAGTAAACCTTTCTTTCGATGAACATCCAACCGAAAGGGTGCTAGGTATTATTTGGAATCCTCGCGAGGATAGGCTATCCTTCGACGTCAGCTTGAAACGAATCCCTGGAGAAATATTAACCGGTGAACGGAGACCAACCAAACGCCAAATGCTAAGTGTAATCATGTCTGTATTCGACCCGTATGGATTCCTTAGCCCCTTTACCATTAGGAGTAAGATTCTACTACAGAATTGTTGGCGTAGTGCTATTACGTGGGATGAAGAACTGAAATCTGCTGAATATCTAGAGTGGAGGCGATGGTTACAGGATCTTCAGCTTATCGAACATCTCACCATACCACGTTGCTACGTGCAGCAAGACGCGAACGTCCATGAGACAGAGCTTCATGTATTCTGCGACGCCAGCGAAAAGGCGTACGCGGTTGTGGCGTACTGGCGCGACGTGTACGAAAACGGAAAAACGGCCGTTACATTTATTCTGGGCAAATGTCGAGTCGCTCCATTGAAGCCTGTCTCTATTCCTCGTCTTGAGCTACAAGCGGCAGTGCTAGCAAGCCGTATGGCGCGCGCTGTAGAACAAGAACATACCCGCAAAGTAACTAAAAGAGTATTTTGGACGGACTCATGCACAGTGCTGAGTTGGTTACGATCAGATTATCGAACATACAAAGCGTATGTCAGTCATCGTTTAGGTGAAATAGACGACCTCACCGGCCAGGACGAATGGCAGTGGGTTCCCTCAAAGGAAAACCCAGCCGATGAGGCAACACGCAACAACGGCCCATTGCCCTCAGAAAAGTCAAGATGGATTGCGGGACCAGACTTCTTGTACAAGGATGAGCCTTTCTGGCATACCCCGCCAGCAACCACCGCGAACGAATGTACACAAGAACTCAGGTCAGAATTCACTGGGAGCAGTGTGGAATTCGAAAGGCTGGAATTACCAGAAATTGAACGGTTCTCCTCGTGGTTCCGATTAATACGTAGCACAGCAAGGCTTCTAGTTTTCAAAGATTGCTGCCTCACTAAGAAGAAGGTCCCATTATCAAATGATCATGTGCAATGGGCTATTAGGAAATGGCAAACACAATGTCAACGAGATAGCTTTCCGGAAGAATTGCACTCATTACATTGTCGCGAACAAATAAGCTGCAAAAGTAGGTTATATCAATTAACACCCTATTTAGACGATTATGGACTCATCCGAGTTGGTGGACGAATATCATCGGCTGAAAATATACCGCAAACCATGAAAGAACCAATTATACTTGACGGAGGTCATCGATATACACGACTCTTAGTGCTGCACTATCATCAACAGGCAAATCATGGCAGTACAGAGGCGGTAGTCAATGAACTGCGGCAAGCGTTTTGGATTTTAAGGCTACGTCCAACGGTCAAAACCGTGGCCAGCCGATGTCAAGTATGCCGCGTGAATAAGAAATTGCCGCAGGTTCCGCGTATGGCGGATCTTCCGAGTGCTAGATTAGAACACCACATAAGACCATTTACCAATTGTGGAATTGATTATTTTGGCCCGATGGAGGTAACAGTAGGTAGACGACGCGAGAAAAGGTGGGGTGTACTATTTACTTGTTTGAACACCCGAGCTATCCATATTGAAACAGCATCCACCTTGACGACTGACTATACCATTATGGCGCTAACACGTATGGCAGCCCGGCGAGGATTCCCGGCTATGATATATTCGGACAACGGTACAAACTTAAGAGGAGCACACGCTGAGCTAAAACGGGCTGTAATGGATCTCGACTGCGACAATCAGAGAGATAGGGTCATGAGCAAAGGCAAAGATTGGCGTTTTATTCCACCAGGTGCTCCCCACATGGGTGGTTGTTGGGAAAGTTTAGTTAAGTCAGTCAAAACTACCCTGAGAGTTATACTAAAAGAACGAGCACCCCGTGATGAAACATTGTCGACGTTATTAGCTGAAGCGGAACACACAGTGAACAGTCGGCCGCTGACGTCCGTATCGGTGGACCCAAGGGACGAAGAAAGTTTAACGCCTAACCATTTTTTAATTGGTGCCTCATCAATCAAGCCATTAGTTACGCGACCTCGCGATGGTAATCTCAACTTGCGCAAGCAATGGAAGATAGCTCAGCACCTTGCAGATCACTTCTGGATGCGTTGGGTCAAAGAATATCTCCCTACGTTGATAAGAAGACGTCGCTGGCACGAAGAGGTGCAACCCTTAGCAGTAGGTGACCTGGTACTTGTTGCTGACTCCCAGCAACCATATGATCGATAGAACGACAATTACTATACTCATTTCTCTTATTATTATCAATCTAACTAATATTGTTAACCATATTATGCAAATATGATCGATAGAACGACAATTACTTTACTCACTACTCTTATTATTATCAATCTAACTCATATTATTAGCCATAATATGCTTATATGATCGATAGAACGACAATTACTCTACTTATTACTCTTATTATTATCAATCTAACTCATATTATTAGCCATATTATGCTTATGTGATCGATAGGACGACAATTACTGTACTTATTACTCTTATTATTATCAATCTAACTCATTGTTACCAACGCAATTAACGAATTAATTTCATTTAATATTCATTTCATTAAAATCGTTTAGTTTAAAAGTTAAAATCGTTTGTTTAATAATTAAAATCTTTTCGTTGGAAATTCTTGAATCGGACGGCTGAACCGATTGGAGGGGGGAGCGTGA